TAAATCTCAATCGGAAATATTGTCGGATTTAACTTAATCTCCTTTGGTTTTTCGTCGATTCAGGTCGATCCGGCCACCCGTTAGTTCACCAGTGCCCTTCTTGTCTCCGTCGTCGCCTGCGCGTGAGGGATGTGAGGATGTTAAAGTTTATGATGTTTCGGAATCGATCTCCCCGCCATTCAAAATTATGAACCGAGCTTGGTAAGTGTCTCAAAATGCCATAAAATATTTTAGAAATTTTTACGGGATTTTTTGGACCCTTTGGACAACTTAATGGGTTGTCCGACCCGACTTGGTCCGACCTGACCCGACTTTTCGACCAGACTCGTTGACCGTTAACTGGCATTGACTTTTTCCGGGTATACCTATCCTGACGTTTTTTGACGTTCTGAGTCCGTTTCGCTAAATTAGAACTCGATAAGCTGTTTTTCCCTGATTAATCACCCGATTCGATCTATTTTTCGGAATTAAGCTCCGTTTTTTATAAAATTTCACTTGATATGTATCTAAGTAATTATTGAACATTGAATTAAAGATGGAGGGCGTTCAAATGGAGATTTATTGCTCGATCGGCGTGCCATGAAAATCGAGGTAATACATTACTACATTTTCATGCTTTTATAAAACATGTTGATATTGGTAAATGCATGAATAAACATGTTTGGTTTCATCTGTGTAGTTAATTAATTCCTACACTCGATCCGAATGCAGTAAAAATTCGAAACTGATTAAAATTTTGATGGCTTGTATAAAGAATTAGATGTTTGATAAGGAATAATTTTAAGTTCAGAGATTATTCAGAAAAGCAATTAATCCTAGGTTATCTAAATTATAATTATCCTCGTTAGGGGTTAATATCGAAATTATTTTGTTAAGAAATTACAAAATTACCCTTGAGAGGTAAAAGTAGCCTAGTTGACCCGAAATGAGAAAGTACCTGGAAGTTATGCCTAAATCGTTGAATTATTGATTTAATTGTTAAGATCTTACTTTTGTTCAGAAAATTCGTGATAATCCATAAATCTCCGAGTTGTGAGTAAATACGTGAAGGATAATTTATTGAGGGTGCTCCTTTGTCAGAATTATTTGAAAAGACTGAAATAGATGATAAGGACGAATTAAATAATAAGATCGAACAGAAGGAAATGATTGAAATACTATGTATCTATAAAATAAACAAAATACCCATGGAATGCAAATGACCCACGAATTTCATCAAGCACAGGAAGGATTGAATATCCTCAAGCTATGAAATGACAGGAACAAAATTGAGCACCAAAATGAGTAAAATACCCTTATGACCAAGAATAAGTAAATGTCTTGGATTAATTAAGGAATCCAAATAAACATGGATGTTGCATTGCCCTTAAAATTTATGGAACACGACTTAAGCCGGTCGACCAACGCTAATGCTATGTCAGTACCTGAATGGCATAGATACCACTTGAATGTTTGCTCGTCTCCTTAAGTTTTGATCGATGATAATTCTGGGAGTACTCAGCTCAATCTAGAGCGCATTCAATACTAAGAAGTGGATATTCGTTAGACAAACCAACCATAAATACAGAATTAAACTGAACAAAAGTACAACATGTATCCAAAATTTAGAAACGTTTGAATTACTCTGGAAAACTCTGAAGTAACCGGGATAAAAGTGACTACTAAATGAACTAAGTAACCTCAATGATTGAGGATTAAGCAAGTGAATTGGATAAGTCTGGAAACTCGGATGAACTTATATGATGTACCATCCCTATGGGTTATGAACCAATAATTAATTACGTCGATAATTTCTGATGTTGTTACAATGTGGAAATGAAATAAAGACCATTATAATATATGTTTTTCCCTTAAAATCTATCCAGCGATGATTCTGAAGATGATCTATGAACAAGGATTTTTTGTATTAAAGAGTGAATACCCTGGAAGGGTAATGAATTGACCAGTCGATAAGCATTAGTTCTGGGAGTTGTACAACTCGAGTTGTTTGATAATTCGATTGATCGACATAGAGTGTAAATTTCTGAATCTTCGTTCTCCCTTATCAGTTTCATGTTATCCATTCTGATAATTGCCAAGTGTCTCTGAAAACTATATGGACTCTCTAGTGTGTTCCCTATGAACTACTTAATTGTTTATATGTTTTGAAATGTGGTACACCGAAATCTATGAGTTACTGTTTTATTGATGCACCGACTTACTGGTGATGGCTTATGGCTTATGGACTATGACTGTTATCTGATTATTTGGTTTTCAGTAGTATATGATTATGATAATTACTGATTTATAGAAATTCTGTTTACTGTACAAATTGTATCTTTGAGATATCGATTTTGGTTAGGACTGGAATATGGAGGTACAACTCTAATCAAGCTGGTAAATCTTTACAGACCTAATGTGACTCTTGGGTAGGCTCTACGGCCCTGAGATCATTCTTGGGTAGGCCCTGCAGCCCTGAGATTTTTCTTGGGTAGGCCCCGTGGCCTTGAGATCTTTCTTAGGTAGGCCCTACGGCCCTGAGATCTTTCTTAGATAGGCCCCGTGGCCTGAAATCTTTCTTGGGTAGGCTCTCAAGCCCCAAGATACTCTATTAGGTTGGCTCCCTTTTGTTGTGTACTCAGGGTAAGCCCTTATGGATGCAGTTATGGGAAACTGCATAATGGAATATGGTTGGAGGGTTCAGGTATGGTTTTAAAAGATTTATATATTTTCACTGGTTTTGATTGGAACCCACTAGACATCCTATTCGATCTCCTGAAAACGTGATTCTATGAATGTTTCCTATGAACTGAGATTTTTATGGCTCCTACTCGATGAACTACCAGTGGAACCCCAGATTATCCCGAAAACCAATATACGTCTTATTCAATAAGGAAAAGTATATGGATTTCCATTTATCTGCATGTCGTGTAGCAACAACTGGTAGTATTGTATTACTTTGCTTCCTAAAGCTCACTCTGTTACTCACCTTTTCAGGTTAAAATAATCGTACTAGTGCATCTATCGACGTCAGTAAGGAAGTTCTTCCGGTGTTGCTTACAGAGTATGCATCTATCGTACTAGTGCATGTAATTGCATTTTGTTTTATGTATGAGTCTGAAAATCTGTTTTATTTCTGAACACTGATAAATCATTTTATGAGTTACATGTTTTAATAAAAGTTTTAAAATTTCCGAGATTTTTACGGTGGGTCGCTCCGGTGGCCCTAATGTGACACCCCGGATCGGATCGGGTTACCTGCATCGATATGAGGGGGTTACATTGATACTTGTTCTTAGCCATATCTACTGTTGATACTTCAAAGTTGTTATTCTTTTACTTTAGTCACTATTTTATTTTTGTTCGTTGAATGTTTCATCCTTTTAATTTATGCCTATCTATTTTCAGTATTTTATTCTTACACTCCTTATTTTGTGCAATCTATGTTTAAGTCATTCGGTTGCTCACATTTACCTATTCGAATTTAGCATGTTGCCCGTACTACGATTTGGTCCTCTTCCTATTTGTACTTGGTTTGATATATATTTGATTTGTTGATTATGATATTTGTTCTGAATTATTCTTAGTATTAATCTTAATATAGATAAAATGGCATGTTATATAATTCATGTTTTTATGTGTTTATATAAGCATGTTTGTTTGTAAATATCGATTTAGGTTTTACTTATCCTTTCAAAATTAACATGTGCAACACCCTCATAAGTATAACTCGATTTGATTCAAATAATTGAATTAAGGGTAATGACTTTTTATTTTAGGGTTGTTGTCAAATGACTATCTTAACGTATAAGAAAGTTACTTCCAATAATTTTAAAATGAAAGTGTATCCCATTAAGTGAAACCTAAAATTTGACCACACCTAAAATTTGGGAACGAGAGAAAAAAGAATGTTCGTCTATTTAAATTCTTCGAGAAAATATCGTTAGAACTTATAAAATGTCTGATCTCGACGTCTTTAAAAAAATTGAATATCCTTCTTCTTTCTAAAAGGATTGATAATTTTTAATTTGAATCGACTTATTTTAACATTGTTCATGCATTTTGAAATTTAAATTAATAATGAATTTTAGAATGGAATTTTAATATTTATTTATTTCGATTGGAGTAAGAATTGACTACTTTAAGGCATGAGATGTTGTTTCTTCTCGATAGGAAATAATCAAATATTGTTGTGTTTTGTCCTAAAATTCAAAGAATATTTTTTGAAGGGATCTTAAATTAAATTAAATTAAATTTGAACTTGTAAAATTCATTGCAAAGACAACTAATCAATCGACTAAGTACTGATTTAGGACACTGTGAGGGTGCTAATCCTTTGCCACGTGTAATCAACTTCCGAACTCAATTTTTGGTACGCGGACCTAAGACGTTGTTTTAATAATTTTTAAATTAAATCTTATTAAAATGACAAAACATTTTGGGTGCCCAATCACACCCTAATCAAAGATTGGTGGCGTCTCCCCGAACCTTGTTTTATTTTGATTTTTAAAAGGAACCTAAATTAATCGAGACAAGATCTTTTAAATCAAACTTAATTAAAAATTAAATTTGTTTTTTAAGAAATCGTTTCGACAAAAGTGACATACGGTTTAAATGAGTACAAGGTATTTAAATTTCTATATCATCCCAGTAAAAAAATGTCAAAATCTTAGACTTTGTTCATGTAATGAATGGTTGAGACCACAAATGATTTTCTTTATATAATCCCCAAAACCGAATGGTCCCCCCCCCCACCTTTTATTTTTCTGTAATTATTCATACACATGCTACATCCTCTCTCTTTCCTTTTATTGTAATGTTTATGGGATTTATTCGACAAGCTATTTTACATTGGGAAGGTGACAGCAATTCCTTAGCTTCCGATTGGAGGCGAGCACGTTTTTGAGGGCAACGTCGAGACTTGCGCCTTCCCGGAATATCGAGTTTCTTCATCACCAAAACCTGTAGGAAGGTCCTCATTCTTCTCCACGTCACTGTCCCAGTCACTAGCCGGACTGATGCATCATGGGGCTCAGCTGCAGGGCATATAACAGCTTTGGCCCCGGAATCTAGAAAGGCCTTGATCAAATTTGCGTTGGGACCGTAAATTCCCATGCAGATTATGATCCTATCCCTCCAAGCTCCAACCTAGTATTATTCAACCAAGCACGGGAATCACAGTTCATGATCAATAGAGAACAAAAATAAAATAATATAAAACATCTAAACGAAGACTCCGGGCGCCATTGACAGACGCCAATGGCCCTAAGTTGACATGAACAACATCAAGAATGGATGTCATTTGTCTGAAAGCCGGTGATAGTTAATACCACAGATTTATAGAAAATATAATCCTCATGGTCTTAGTAACATGTTTCGATTCATTCGACGTTTAGAGGCATTTATCATGTGTTTGGCAAGACCATCCAGATCTAGAGAAGGTTTAAGCAACTAAAATAAAGAAAATTGCACTAATTCTGTGAATGCAATATTGCCCTAAGACAAGCAGCACAGAGTGCATCGATAGGCCTGTGGAATCATGTGCTTTGATCTGTAAATCAGATGTTCAAGCGAGAGAAATATACATACCATCTAACGAACATCTTCAGGTGTCATGTGCAAAGAAGGGACTGTACGTCGAAACATGTATGCCGCAATTTCAATATCATCTTCCATGACCTTTAAAAGATGTCAAGAAAATCACACTAGAGTTCGTTAGATTTGATAACAAAGAACTAACAAGACACTGAAAGCAATGGGAAATGAATGCACACTTGGGTTTGGCGTCCAATGTTTCCAACTTGGAAGTATGGTTTAAAGCGGATCAAATCAGCAATAGTTGTAACATTGGCAAAAGACGAGACACTCTTCTGACGCTGGCTCTGTAATACTGACAACATGCTCAGCTTAACGCTTTGCAGGAATTTATCAGCCAGTTCTCCAGGTTCAGCCACAACAAACACGTCATTTTGCCAACTAGAAAAAAGAAACATCGAGAAGGTTAGGATGAGGCAAAGGCTACACCGAAAAGTAATTACACAAAAATGAGGGTCTTTTAGACCTTAGTACTGAGCCAACTGAGTCATTTTGAAGGGTTAAATGTATAATGCCCACTTGTGGTAGATTCTGTAACTTCTCATGCAAAGACCGCACAGGTAAAGAGAGCTGCCTAGGGGCTGAAGGAGAAGTTGGGGGTGATGTAGCTGTTTTTCCAGAGTGTAATCCATCCAAGCTTAAAGGCGGTACAGTGTCAATTCGGCCAAGCCTCTGCATGCCACCGTCAGTACCGAATAAAAGGGGGCTTGAAGGAAAGCTTCCAGTGATCAGAGGAGAGGTAAATGATGTTGGAAATGTTGTTGCCGGTAATGTCTTTGAAAACCCAGATATATCATGCAAAAGAGATAATCTAATTCCAGTTCGAACACAAAATGACTCAAGTGCAGGAGCATGGTGCACAGTTCTTCCAGAATCAGGACTATGCAAAGCTTCAACAAGTAGTACATTCGCCTCCAGCCTAATGAAGGGCTATTCTCATCTAGCAAAGCTCAACGCGAAATAAATTAAAAAGATTCAGCAGAGCACCCAGAAAATTAGAATATATAAGAACTATTGAAAACAAGGCATATTACCTGCATTTGGCACCTTTGCCATGGTAAAACATTGATATTTCAAATTCTCTGAATTGATATGTCAGGATGGAGGCGTGGTCCAAGTTGAGGCGTCTCAGGTATAAAGGGACACTTAAGGACTATGTGAGTTGATTCAGAAGACTCATGCTCAAAGTCCCAAGTTTGACTAAAGAAGATGGGTTCTTCACCTTCATGTTGGATTGAAGCCATGGGCGAAGAGAGTGTTGGAGCGAAGGGAAGTCAAGGAGTTGTCTAAAGCCTTGACAACCGCTGAGTCCATCAAAGAATTTGGAGTCAAGAAGAACAAGACTTCCAAAGAAAAGCCGAAAGCCGAGGGTAGCGGCAAGAGATTCCGTGAAGAAGGCAAGTAAGAGGATGAGGAAAGTTGTTCCTCGAGTGGAAAAGAAAATCCACTCAATGATGAACCAGATGGTGAGTCTGGGGAAGATGTGTGCAGTCTTGGCACAAGTTTGAGTGTCAAAGATGATAAGCTGAGGGTAAGCGTCGAGCAAACAAGGGGGCGCAGACTTAAGATGCCAGAACTATTGCAAAATTACCCGATGGGAGCCGAGTCATCCAAGGTGATGGATGAGCCCAAGATCGAGTTGTCCAGAGAAGAGGACGAACCCAGGATTGAAGAGGCGTTAAGAGTTGGCTCAATAAGGTTCATTTATGCCAAGGCAAGTAGAATCCAAGTGCAGGAGGAGTTGTCAGTGTCCAAGGAGTTTGCCGAGCATGTTCGTGTAGAGAACATGGCTTCAGAGACCATCTTAAGAGAAGGGTTGAAGCAAGGGCTTGCCGAGGATGTTCAAGTGAGGAACAATCCTTCAAAGACTAGTAGACAAGAGTCGAAGGAAGCCAAGACGTTGAGGGACAAGGCAACAACAGAGAAACTGCCCAATAACAAGTGGGTTTATAGGGTGGTGACTACAGACAAACTGAAGTTGTGTTCAGCTTCAGTTGGCATGCTAGAATAACAAAACTAGAAATACTGTTGCTTTGATCGAGGTGTGAAGATAGATTAAAACCAGTCTTCAAGTGGGAGATTGTTAAAAGTCATAAAAAGGGGCTGCACAAGTCATAGAAAGGGGTTGCACCGAAAGTGCAAATTAATGCACAGAAATTGTCAATTTTCGGTGCAACTATATTTGAAAGTGAGAAGGGTAAATTTTGTAATTAGTCACTAGACTTTAGGGTATTTATAAGATTAGTCCTTAAGCTTCAACTATAAATACCCTAACCCATTTAGCTTCAAAATCATCCCAAATCGTTTCTTTCTCCTAATACTAGAGAGTTTTCTTGTGAGTAGTGAGTGTTTTGTAAACCCCTGTAAATTTTCTCTCTTTAGTAAAAGATCTGTAGCAGTCCGGAGACGTAGGCATAATTGGCTGAACTCCGTTATTAATTTCGGGTATTATTTTTCCGCTTTTATTTCGTATTCTCACTAATCTGGTTATAGGGAAATTACTCGTTCTCATTTTAATTCCCAACACTCTGTCCACTTTTCATCATGTGCAAAGGGCAGAAGAAGTCTTTCACATGCATTTTTCAAGGCCTCAACATTGTTTACGATGTAGACTTTTACGCAAGCTTCCAACTTCATCCAAACTGTTGGATCAATCTCATCCAGCTCCATGTCACAATGTTCATCAACTGCAAGGGAAACCATAAAAAATGAAGACTCCATAATTATTTCATAAAAGAGAGATTTCAAATGAAAGAATTCCAAGATGATTTTTTTTATAAGAAAATGGTTTGCTGAAGAAAGTGATTGAGAGTGGAGCCATCAACGGGGGTTGCAAACTCCAACACCCATCAAGGAACCAAAAGATATAATACCTGGATTAAACCGAAAATACTGAATCTCAGGAAGCATAGGTATCAATGTACTCAAAGCTTCCTCAGTTCGGTCCACAGAGCATGTACTCTTAATCAAAACTTGCCCAGTATCAAGATAGAGCCAACCATCTTTTCGTGCCTACATCAGAAGAGATACTCATGAATCCATGGGTAACTAGAAAAATTAAAATCTCTAGAATTTTTGTTCTTCAATTAGTCAAAATATAAGAACCACTTAGAAACATATTAAACTTGGAACACTATAAAAAGTACCTATGAGTCAAGATCATTGGATTGGATTAATGGTTTCATTACTTTCTTCCAATGACGGTAGTTTGCTCCATTGAAATATAGATGCTTGTTGATAGATTGATAGTCTTTCATGTAGAACGAGTTGGAGGTGGAAGCCATCTTATTATCAGTTTCTTATTGTCGGTTGAGTCGGGAATCGGTAGAGCTTCTTCAAGGATCGTCTCAAGGATGTGAAGCCTTCTAATGAGTCAAGCTACCAATTGTTGGGATTTATGAAGCTCAATTGACAACCGAAAATGTGCCAAGAAGGGTGAATTAACAATATGTGTTTAGGGAGTAAGGAGAAAGAAAAGATAGACAATATTGCACATCGATTTATAGTGATTCAACTTATCAACCAAGTCTACATCCACTATCTAAGCTCCTCACTTAGGATTTTCCAACAAATCCACTAATTTGTTCTTCTTTTTTTCAAGGACAAAGAGACAACCTTTACAAACTCCCTAGCTTTTCAAGGGCTTAGCTAGAACCAAAAATCCCTTTTCAAAAGGATACAATAAGTAAACAATAAAACCTCTACAAGGTAGGGTGTTTACAAATTAAAGCTCACAAAACATAACTATTTACAATAGAAATAAAATAAAGAGTGAAAAAGCTTTTCTCTTGTATTTGATTGCTTGGATAGGTGTTCTAACTCTTCTTCAAGTGTCATCAACTTGTATTTATATGTTGGAATGTGTTTGTGGTCGTTTCTAGCCGTTGGGGATGAAATTTCGTGCAAAATAAAACTGCTCAGGACAGAGGGTATCAGTACTCCTATAAGGAGTATCGATACTACCTTTATAATATTTAAATAAAACTAGTCGTTACTGGCCGTTGGGGCCTAACAGTATCGATACTATGACCATGATATCGATACTACTATGTAAAGTATTATCGGTACCCCTTTGGGTATCGGTACCTATTTTGCATTCTGGATTTGACCAAGCTGGTAGTATCGGTACTACCTTGAGAGTATCGATACTTCTCTTACCTAGGGTATCGGTACCACATGAACAATATCGATACTGTTTATATAGTATCAATAATGTAATAACAGTATTAGTACTACGTATGTTGAAAATCAGTTTTGCTCTCAAATTCACTTTTAATGGAATTTGATTTATTTTTGAAAACTTTGAATAAATTCAATTCAAGTCAAAAAACATTTTTCCTTAATTTGTTATATCAAAATATTATAAAACATGGTTCAACAATGTGTAAGTAATAAATCGGCCCAAAAGAAGATTTTTTATTACTAGTGTTTAATTACCACATCTGATACCACTTAAGGTGAATATTTTTTCTAAAGATGAAATATTAATGGAGTATCTGATATCTCGAGATAATGTTTAAGTGTATTCAAATTTATTATTATTTTTGTTATCTTTTAATTTAAATAAAAGAAAAAATTAAGAGAAATTGATTGGTTGACAATATTTATATGATTTTATTTATATTATTAATACAATATATGTATATATTCAATTCGATTGTTCAGTTTGATTGTTGGTTATTATAATATATATTTTGAAACAAATTAATTCATATTATAACTATGTTTGATATTTTGATAGAATAGTTGAAACATAATGTCGCCAAAGTGAAATCTTTTGTGAAGATTGATTTATTTAAAATATCAAGATGATTATGTTTTTCTTATTAATGGATCCAAAGGAAAGTTAATAATTGGCGGAATTTCAAGCGACACATGTGGTAATAATATGTGACAATTATAAGGTATTTTATGTGAGCATTACATTAGTCAAAAGATTAATCTTTTATTCGACATAGCTTATTGTCAATGTTTGATTACTACAACAAGAGTATCGTTTACTGTTAACATTATTGTCCAAAGACTTGATATTAAAGTAGTGTTTGGTATCTTGAGATAGAGATTAGCCATAATTTTGAATTTATTTGTTTACTTAAAATGTGAATTTCAACTTTATTTATGTTTTGTTTTATATTCAGCTAATTATTTATTTATTGCTACCATAATATCTGCTATTAAATATTTTCTACTCATGCTTAAGAAAAGGAATTTCAAGGAATGAGAAAATG